CCCCCCCCCAACCCCACGCCCAAACCACACACATACGTTAGCACATACAGTAGCACATTTACCGTCACAAAAGTCTAACAGTCATTGAGCTTATAAAACAATATTATAAAACATAATAAACGAACGATCATGATGGACTAAGTAATCCATCCTAGTGACATACTTTCTACAACTTTTACTTACGTCAACGAGGCAAGATTCGCCCAAGGCATTAATATTGCGTCTCGATTAATTTTCTACATTTTGAAATAAAATATGATTGCCCCAGAGTACATCTATCATTCCCCCTGAAGCTTCTTTTTCTTCCTTTTCCCCCCTAATATAAAAATGCGTGAGTGGCATACCATAATCTTTAATTGAAAAAACAGGAAATTTTCAGTCAACCAAAGACAATATTTGAGAAAGTGCGTGTTACTAATAGAGTCTAATAAATCCAATCAAAGGTTAAGAAAATAGCAAACCCCATAAACGCGAAATTCAATTCATTTTAAAAAAGGACGCGTCGAGAAGATTGTTTGCCGAATAAACAAGGTCTACTTTATACTGAGCTTTTATGTACCGGAAAGTACAGGTACGGCCCAGCGGTCTATTTGCCGATATGGTTTCTGAATTCATGCTCTCTGTACTTTACCTGGATCCATTTTTTAAATTGTTGAGACGACAATAGAACTTTTACGCGCAACACTTCGTCCCACAATCAAGCACCCGTTAATAGAAAAAAATTATAAAAGGTCCAAATTGCACGGCGGACTTCATAACCTCACCAGCAAGCCTCCCAAAACATTATGCAACCCTTGCATAACTGTGGATGCTCTACTATAAGCAAGCTCTTTGCTGACGAAAACCATTGACAATCTAATAGTTAATTTATTAACTAAATTAATGATAATCAATGACTACATTGTGGAAAGGTGCACATCTCAGCGGATCACGCTCACCAACATAGATTATTTTGAGATAGAAAAACTTGAGAAGTTTGTACGTACAATACGATGAGAAATGTAATTAAAAATGACACGTGGGTGATATGAGTATGAGAAAATTTTACATAACCGGATGGTTGTATCAATTGCGTTAAGTCCAACAGAAGACACGCACAGCGTGACATTATCTCACCATTTCTTCTTTTCTTTTCAGTGAAAATTATTGCATCTTTTATTAAATTCCTGACTGAAACAGACAGCGGGAAAGAGGATTTGCGTGCATTGGTTCACATAATATCACACCACTGTTTCTTCCACAATGTGGCGTCTCTCTCTCTCTCTCTCT